ATGGGGCTGTTGATCGTGGGGTGGTTGAGGAGCTGATTGACCACGTTAGCAAGGCAATCGAGAAGGCCTTGCGAAAGAGGAAGCTCTGGATTGTGTGTGAGTGAAGGAGTCAGGTGTGGAGGAGGATTGTCCGGGAGGAAGTATGTCTCGGCAGCTGAAGATTGCTCCGTAGAAGGCGACCACAAAGTTGAAGGTGGTCCGAGGTCGGTTGAAGCCATGCTGAGCAAAAGTCATAGGAGGTTGACAGCAATCAAAGTGAAAATGGCTGCGGTGAGATAGGCTAGTAATCAACATCCAAAGATCTCAGAAATCGCAAAGACCGAGTAACAGCTGTACAAAGTGGTTACGCGCATGAGAAACGAGCTGAATTCAAAGTACTCAATGGTTCTGCAGTGCATGGACATTGTTTGCTGATGGCGGGCCGAAGAGAGCTGGGTGAGACCGAAACTATACAAAATAGCTACCGATGTCAGCCGGTGCGAATTCCGGATGACTGTCCTCACTGATGATTTCTGGCACGGCGTCAGCTGTGACTGAGGCAGCCAGTGCAGGCGATGGAGGTGTTGTAGGTGTGTAGGAGAAGTCTGGGGCTGAAGGTGGTGCCGGTGGTGGAAGCGCTGCTGCCGAGGGAAGCATCTGGGCCGGTGAGGCCGGTGGTGTGTTGGCAGGTGAAGTGGGTGTAGGTGACGGTGGTGGGTGGATTGCATTGTGTTGGTGTTGCGGGGCTTGAAGTTCTTCCCAACGCGCTTTGCACTGCTCAATGGAAAAACCTACTCGACGGGCAACGTAGTTCCAGTTCGGGCGAAGACGAGCATCAGTTTTGAGCTCGACAAGGCGGACATCTGCATCAGCGTCCCAAGCATCCCAATCAGCATCTTCGTTGAGGGGTGGTGGAGGCTGGCGTTTGCGCTTGGGCTGTGGCAGTGGTGGTGAGGAAGAAGAGGTCGAGGATGCTTGTGAAGGAGGAGGTTTCGGTGGTGCATGTTTGATGGGAGCAGCAGGAGCCGAGTCGCAAGAGGAAGTGGGGGAGGGAATGGGGACGGCTGTGAGGGGAGCTGGAGGGAGAGTCGGAAAAGGTCGATGAAATTGAGGGTCGACCTGTTGTGTGTGGACGAGATAGAAACTGTGCAAGTTGGACAGGATGTCTGTTGCTTGCTGGAGTAGACGATGAAGCTGGCTGAGGGCAATAGTGGTTCGATGGAGAAGTCGAACCTGGTCTGCATGAGACTGCATCTGAAAAGGTCGTGTCAAGGTAGCGAAAGCGGCGGACTGGAGCGTCGATTGGCGCAGCTGTGGTATCAACGCTGCATAATCGGCGGGAAAATAACATGCGGAGCGTGCAGGTGAATTACGAAGATGAATTATTGAGCATGAATTTTGCAGGATATACATAAACGTGAATGGAATCTGAAAAACTGCATCGGTGGAAAGAAGAAAAATGCACAAGACTCTCAAGCACGGTCAAAGCCCAAGGCCTTTGATCTGACAAGGCTAGAGAAAAATCCAAGTGAGCATACATGAGAAATCAATCAGGATGTCAAAAGGAGCCGCTAGAAATTAGGTTTGAATTGAAAAAAGGATACGATAGGCTGACGTTGCAAAGCTCTGAAACATGTCCTGCAAGTAAAGCGTCAGAGCGCGGTTTTTTCAAAGCCGGAGTTGGTGGCGAGGTGAAACGTAGGGACAGGCTGCTCTCAGGCATTGGGAGGTAGCATGGAGGTGGAGGTGGAGATGGAGCTGGCGGTGTGTTGTAGGACCTCAAAGGTCTGGAGGGGTGGCATTTATAGACCATGCCAGCCCCTTGACGATGGCATTATTGGGGTGAATCACCCAGCAGCGGGCCTTGGAGCGGCAAACAGCGCCATGATCTCGTTGCAAAAGATGCATGGCCTGGGCTTCACCTCCGCTGGTGAACTTCGTCCCACGGCCCCAAGCAAGGAGATGGACCATGATGGAGTGGACGTTTTTTGCAATCTTCCATGTGTTGTGTAGAATGCGGGCCTGTTCGTAGTTGTCGTGAATGTGTCGGTGGGTGATGCGTGTGGCTTGGGCAAAAGAGCCCGGGTTGGCCTCGAAGTGAAGGGTACTGGGGAGGAGACGACCCTGTTGTAAAATGGCAGCAATGTTGCCATAGGGGCCGGTGTGGCATGCATTGATGTGAACTGTCTCAGGGGCAGTGGAAGTGGCCCGAGTGGCAGGTGGTGGCAGTGGGCGAGTGGCTTTGTCGACGAGGCTCGGGATGTTGATACAGTGATAGGAGAAAGTGTCGTAGGCATTGGTGGTGTCATTCCATTTCACATGGGTGAGTTGGCGGAAGTCTGCCAAATCATCAAACACAAAGCCGGTGTCTGCAAGAAGTTTGGCGATGTAGAGATGTTGTGGTCTGTTCTCTGCGGCAAACTGGGCTGCGTGGAAATCTAGCCACCATGCTATCTGTTCTTGTGGCGACAGCTGCTGGAAATGTGGAGGAGGTGGCTTCCAAGGTGGGTGGGGGCGTCGTAGCGCCGGAAAGTTGGAGTAGTCCGCTTGGGACATGTTTGTGATCTGACTGTGAGATGTGGACTGTTGATTGGGCCGGAGAGTAATAGGTGCATGGGAGCGTGTGTGGGAATTGCTGGCTGAAGACGTGGTAGATGTGGTGGAGGGAGAGCGGCGACGTCGGCGGCGTGCCGAGGACGCTTTGGCGGTGGAAAACGCAGGGGAACGTTGGCGTTTGTCACGTATATGGCAACTGCGGTGGCGGCGACGCCGTTTGCTACGGCTTCGGCCACGATGGCTGCGGCCAGTGGTGGTAGGAGGAGGCGGTGCTGCTGTGAGAGGTTGTGAAGGGGGCTGCTTGGGAGGCGGTGCTGTTGGGGTTGTGGATGCTGCCGGAGATGCTGGTGGTGGTGGCGGTGTTGGCTTGGCGGTGGCTGGTTGCGGAGCAGTGGAAGTGTGTGTAATTGGTGCGGCGGTGGTGGCAGTGGTAGCTGGTGAGGATGTCTCCTGAGTAATAGCGACTGGAAGCGCCGGGAGGGGCGTTGGGAACGCCAGAGGGGAGTTGTGGATATGTTGGAGTGGCCGAAGCAGTTGTGTTCGGAGCCGATGCGGAAGCTGGCAAAGGGTGAGCAACTCATTAAAAGCCGAGAAAGGTTGCCAAACACCTTGAGATTGGTCCCAGTGGACGGGGACCTGTTGGATTGGCGGCTGTGGTTGTGATGCTTGAGGAGCAGGTAAAACGGATGGTGTTGGTGGTGCATGTGGTATAGTGGGTGGATGAGGTTGTGTTGGTAGGGCCTCGAATGCCTGCATCTGTGGAGCTGTTGGGTGGGGCCTGTGTGGGAGCCACAAAGTAAAGGTTGGTACTGGTGGAGAATGTGCTGGCATGGGATGTGGCCACGCATGAGGTGGCGGTTGCTGCGGAGTGGGCTGAAAGTGGGGTAGAAAAGCTTGCTGTGATGGATGGGATAAAACCGTAGGAACAGGTGCCGTTGGTGGAGAGTGGTGCCATGGCGGTGGCTGAGTGGTGACTGCGGGAATGGAGGGTGCGGTACAAGGCGGTGGCCAATGTGGATAAGGCCAAGGGTACTGCATGTAGAGAGGGCCGTCCGAGTGGCTGCGAGAAAATGGCGCCGGCGCGGCACAGCAGCTGAAAGGATCAATTTGAGGATGGCAGTGAATTCGTGGAACTCAGTATGTGTGCAGTGAAAAATTAATTAAGTTGAAAAATTGGCATGCATTGTAGTCTCCGGGATGTGATCATGCATACGTTGATCGTCGGTCAAATGGCTGCGGGTGGGAAGTTAAATTGAAGTTGGAGAAAACGCAGCAATGCACAACACGAATGAATGTCGGAGCGTTGAGTGGATAGTTCCTCGCTTATAGCCCGGCGGCTCGAAAATCAGGGAATTCAGGGATATATTGGAAAACGTGGGGTCAGTTATAAGAATGAAAAAACGATGCTTTCCGGAATGATAGCAGCGCCTCCTTTCGGAGGATCACACCCAGTACCCGAGTGGGAAGACTGAGCGGGTCACACTTCGAACTTGGGTTTTCAGTTAGACTCAATTGCCACGTTGAGAAGTAAGGTGAGGGAACGGAAAGGTGCAAGGGTCAGCCAAAAAAGTATTGTTGAACAATGTTTCCGAAAAGCGCTCAAGTGAAAGCGGCGTTCAGCAGCTGCAAGGCGGAAGGAAAATGGTTTGGGGGAGGTATCATGAACTACCATGGAAGCAAACAAGAGAAATTGGAACAGCGTGGGCAAAAGTTCAAATCTGTTGCAGGTACGTGAACCTGGCGTCCCAGGTTCATATCCTCTCCAAACATCAGGAGCTTCGTTGGCCACAGACTGATGAATGGAGCTGTGGCCCCCTGCCTGTGATAAGGTCATATGAGTGGAAAAATTGAATTGGAAACGGTGACGCTAGTAGTGGAGGGGTGAACAATTGAAAGCCCTTAGAACCAGGGTGTGACACACACACACACACCACTCCAAAGTTGCGTTGCTATGGTGTTTACATCGACACGAATCCGAGAGTCCACCCATCCAACACATCCCAACACTCACTCCAAATCCTTCCCCCGGTTAAGGAGAGTAGTATAGATCGAATCATAGAGCGAATTTTTGAGACGGACGACACGACCGTTGCGACCGATAAAGCAACGTTAAGTGATCACAGCGTCAAGCCCCAGACCCCAGTTAGACGAGAAGCCTTCGCTACGCATTCGTGCAAAGTGGGCTAAATAACAAATTCATGCTACGAGTACTTGCTATATTTCATACTACATATATAAATATATCATAATAAATCATAATATATGTTTTTCACATGTCTCGGTTGCACCTGCCTGGCCAACTCTTGCTCAGCTTCCTCCAGGGTCGCGGCACATCAGTCTGGGTACATTGTTCGTAGCGCTGTTGAACGTAGGAAGTGAAAAAGAGTTGACATGAGTTGACCTTTTGTGTAAGACTTGTTGTCGTTTCTGGTCCTCCAGCGGGTCGAGCATCTGACGTCTTGAATTGTCATGCTTCTGTGCCACTTGCCTGCAAAGCAAACAAAACGACAAACAATATTCTTCCAAATGATTTCAAATGATCGAAACACAAATAGGAAATATAAATAAATGCACTTTCACTGAAGACAGTTCGAGTTAGTCCCTGTCTTGGCTTCCAACGAGGCCATTGTATGAAACTCCTGCTTTCAACCAAGCATCCAAACGGAATGCACGGTGATGATCATCATCTACTTGCACTGCATGACTCCAATGTCGCTCTGCGCGAATTTGCACAGTCCCTGTGACTTCTTCTTGTTGACAGCAGTGCTGCACTCATGTTTACTTTGTCCTTTTTGAAGCCTCAATTTAGCCACATGCCATGCATTGCGCAATCAAAGCATCAGCTCATATCAACTGACCAGCCTCGTGCTGTCTTCGCATATTCTCTGCCGACCTGCAACTTGCCACTGAATTTGCTTCATTCATTGCAGCATCAAACCATCTGAATCTGAGATCTTTGCGAGTGAAATGCTGCATTGAGCTGCTCAAACATGTTATGGAGTTGTCGTTCTCGTGGGAGAACCTGCGAAACGACGACAGCGAACGATTTGTGCTGTAAAAGCCGAAGCCAAAGTCGTCCAAGGACGCTACTAATTAGGGGCTCCTGGCCTTACTACTAGGAACAAGGACCGCAACAGTGGGGAAATGTATTGTAAAGATTTGTAAAGTCGTCCAACGTGTGCTGGGGCTGGAGCACAACAGCAACAGTGGGGCAAACACAGCAACAGTCACGAGTCAACCAGTTCAACCTGCGTCGCGACTTTGGGGGGTACAGGACAGGATACCTTTCCTTGTTGCCTTTCGGCTTCCCGTCTCGGATTTAGTGCATGTTTGAAACATCATTGAATCTTGATTTCATGCGGACACGAGCTGCAAAGCTATATACTTTTGGTTTCTCAGGCGTACAGGCTGACTGCTTCAAAGGGGATCTTCTTCTGTGCAGCGCACCGTGTCTATCGGAAGCAATCCAAAGTTTTGCCAACTGCATTTTCTGTCCAAATTATTTGATAAATTTTAGCTGCTGCACATTTAAGGTACTGATAGGTACTGTAGATGTCAAAGTCATTGGCCCGCCTCTTGCTCCATGAGATCGACCACTCGCCGCAGTTCTTCGCGCAACTGCACCTGAGAGAAGCACTACATATTCGCACTGTGCAAGTGCTACCAGCAAAGCGTGGTGCAAAATTCTATATATCAATCAATATAAATCAATACAGACTCTCTAGACATCTTTAAACTCTGTTCATCCAAGTGTTGGCAGGTATGCCGTAGGCGTAAGGAATCTGGTGGTCGCCAAAGGATCACCCCTGCGCAATTTGCCTAATCGAGAGCGTGAACCATAGTGAAAGCGCCCGACTAGCTTGTCCTCGTTTAGTTTCATGGTGCCTGCTCTTCGTACAATGTCACGACTTCCCGCGTGTGCTCCTAGCAGTTTCATGAAGTGCTCTCGCAGCAGTGGCTCGTTCGTGCTTTCATGCCTAAATGGGATGCCACGACAACGTACATAGCCGTCCTGTTCTAAGGTGGCTAACAGTTCGCTAGCCAAGGGAGCTGCAACCTTATCCATTCAGTGATCATTCTACAACCACTGATCTGAGAAACTCCAACAAACCGCCAAGCCTGCTCAAATTGGCTCACGCCACTTGCCCAACTTTGCAAGGATACATTACCTCCAAATCAAGATGCATTGCTGAGAGCTGGAACATCCAGAATATTCCAGAATAAAAATGGCACCACTTGGCCTTCGGAACCTGGAATTCTGATGAATTCTGAGGGGTTCTGTTCAGGACTTGCATGAATGTGAATTTCAAGATTTAATATATGGTCACGTGCACAAGTATCTCAGTATTAGTGTCACAGTCAAACGATGGAAACAAACATGAAGCAATGCAGTTCTGGCACCAAATGTATGGTATGCAAACCGCCACAGCTGCATGAGGTTATAATGCAAGTGTTCCACTATTCGGGTCAATGTGATGGAACATGGCGGCTTGATTTCATACTCACATACTCACCAAGTCTCACGAGGCTTCGCAAATATTTTGAATGTCGTCGGGGGAGGGCTGTCATCTGACTTCTGCAACACCCCCACTTTTTCATATAGCGAGTAACATCATACTACAAGTAGCATGTATTTTGTAACTGAGAGTGAGAACAAACACAGAGCCAAGGATTGTTGTGGAAGAACCTCTGAGAGTCTTGGAGTACCTGTACGTAGTCCTCTGGTAGCCACCCCATTCTGGCCATCCCAAGTGCTGCGAACAAGGTGGTATTCAGAACAGCAGGTCCAGCGTTGTGATGGAGATGCAAGAATTGGACATTCATCAGATTCATCAGGATCTAGTGTCTCAGACTCAGACTATCAAAGTCTAAGGGGTCCATTGAGACTAGGACGTTGATGTCGAAGTGTACCAGCCAAGAAGATCTTGATGGGTTGGGCTGAGAAGCTCACATGGGTCAACCAGGTCGTCCAGGTCACAGAATCTGTGACCGAACAATGTAGAAATCTGCCCGCACCGAAAGGTACTGGGGCGTGTGTATCCGGATGACATATTCAATCGCAAGATTTCAGCTTTAGCTGGGGGGCCGGGGGTCCCTCTATCGACCTGAACAAACACCAGCGGCTTCATGGTACGGCTAGGGGTTCGTATTGGCCAGGTAGAAACGGGATGATGGGAATCTATATGTATTTTAGTATAGCACTCAGAACATCTTTTGAAAAACAGTTGGAATCTAGCTACCACCATTATTTGCAATGATACTATAACATACTATAACGCCACAAATACCGCAACATTACCACACACATTTCTCCCGGCGCGGGCGGACCCAGCCGCGTAGCGGCGCGAATGTACCGTCAACTACTCGGACCTCAAAATTCTTGGCCCTCCAAGTTGCAAGCAAACAAGAAACAACACAACCAGAAAGGGTTCAAATGGAAAAAACATTGGAAAAGTTATCCGCTGTGGACAGTGAACGTGATTCTTGGGGGCCCGCTGACATGTTCAGAATAGCAAGGAGCTTGGCTGCAAACGTGGCAATCCGGTCTTGCGACGAGGTTGGCTTGTGCTGCTTCAGGTTCGGAGGTATGCATCTTTACTTGGTACTTTATATATATCCGCCGACCCCAGCAGATGGCGGGGGAGCGCGTCAGAGAACTCTGCAGCATCCGGCTGCGTGCAGTTACTTGGTGTATGTTCACAGGACCTCAACAACTGCACTATATTCGTGGCAGCGAGGACACGACTTCACGATGGACACCGGACGGAGATCGTTGCGCCGGAGCTGCAAGGATTCAGGTCAGATGCACGCTTGCAACATTGTGGACTATTGTGGCTTTAAAGTTGTGATAGCAAGAGATGCCTCTGGTTGGGGGCGCGGAGACTGCCTTTCGTGCGGGCACAAAATGCACGAGGCTGACCCGCCGGCTGTGATGGCAGGAGGTTGAGTGAGAGCAATTCCGAGGACGACTTTGCAGTCGTATTTGGGGTGGATTGGGGTGGGTTAGATTGTGGAAAGCTGTGGCGAGGGGGATCGCTATAGGAGCAGGTTGGAAGAGGAGAAGAGGATTTTTACTGCCATCAGACATCAGAAAGCGACGTTTGGCAGTGAGAGAGCAGCGCTGCGGACGACTTTTCAAGCATTTTTGGGGCAGAATCAGATCGTGGATCCGGGCCCGCGCAGTTACGTGGTGCATGTGCACAGGGGGTCAACAACTGTACTTGCGACCCGCGTGCGAAAAAGAGAGAGAAGATTCTTACTGCCGTCAGAGAGCAACGGTGGCGAGGGAGATTGCCGGGGCCGGGAACTCCGAGAACGGCTCCTGGAAGAAGAGAAGAAGAGAAAGAAGAGATTCCTACTGCCGTCAGAAAGCGGCGTTTGGCAGTGAGAGAGCAGCGCCGAAGACGCATTTTCAGTCGTTCTTGGGGTGGAATTAGATTGTGGAATGCTGTGGCTGCAGGGAGAGAGGGAGATTGCTGGGAGCTCCGAGAACGGCTCGCGGAAGCGGAGAAGAAGAGAAGATTTTTTGCGGTCAGAAAGCAACGGTGGCAAGGGAGATTGCCGGGGGCCGGGAGCTCCGAGAACGGCTCCTGGAAGAGGAGAAGAAGAGAAGATATTTTTGCCGCTGTCAGAAAGCGACGTTTGGCAGTGAGAGAGCAGCGCCGAGGACGCATTTTCAGTCGTTTTTGGGGTGGAATTAGATTGTGGAATGCTGATCGCTTGGAGCAGGTGTCTACCAGCCAGAAGACGCGTCTCTGGGTGGAGTTGCATTGCGCTGGGAGCAGGTGTCTCCAGCCAGAAGACGCGTCCGTCGCTAGTAAGGCTGCTTTATCCCGATGGCTGGGGTCGGCGGCACGGGGCGTAGCCCTTATATCCGGCCAGGGGCGTGTGCCCCTACTGGCCGTGTCCTGCCGGTAAGGCGTTCTCCTTCTGCGAAGCAGAAAGCGTAGCCGCCCCCAGGCGTGGGACCCAGAAAACCCAGTGTTTTTGACGTTTTTTTTTCCGCGCTTGTTGCTCACGATGGGTCAACATAGCCCAACATAGGGCCAAATAATGCTGGAAATGCGTGCCGCGCCGGGGTGCTTCGTCTGCATCGTGCGCGGATGCTGAGCTAACATGGGCCCAAGCTAGGCCAACATGGGCTCAAGCTGAGCCAACACATGGGCCCAAGATGGCCCAAGCTAGACGCAAGCTATGCTCAACATAGCCCCAAGACCGCGCAACAAAGGCTCCAGATGGCCTGAGCTAGACCCAAGCTGCGCGCAACATAGCCGCAAGCCCGCCCAACATCCACTCCCTCAGCCTGCACCCGCGCCCAATCTTCCACCCTCCAGCCCCCTACCTCAACGCCCCTGGCCGGCTGTCGGGCGTAAGCCCTTGAATCCGGCCAGGGGCGGTGAGCCCCGTCAGGGCCGTGTCCTGCGTAAGGCATTCTCCTTCTGCGAAGCAGAACGTAGCCGCCCCCCCGCCGAGGGACCCAAAAAACTCAGTGTTTTTTGGCGTTTTTTTCTGCTCTTGTTGCTCACGATGGGTCAACATAGCCCAACATAGGCCCAAATAACGCTGGAAATGCATGCCGCACCGGGGTGCTTCGTCTGCATCGTGGGCGGATGCTGGGCTAACCTGGGCCCAAGCTAGGCCAACATGGGCTCGCGGCTCAAGCTGAGCCAACATGGGCCCAAGCTAGACGCAAGCTATGCTCAACATAGCACCAAGACCGCGCAACAAAGGCTCCAGATAGCCTAAGCTAGACCCAAGCTGCGCGCAACATAGCCCCAAGCCCGCCCAACATCCACTCCCTCAGCCTGCGCCCGCACCCAATCTTCCGCCCTCCAGCCCTTAAATAAATAAATAAATAAATAAATATATATATATATTATATGTTATATACACGATGTATAATGGGGTTTCTGCGTGCTGGCAAAGCGATGAGTAGCGGCTTAGCGAGTGGTTTTTGCGTGATGGATCGTTGACGGTGCCTGCGCAGGGTCCGAATTGGTGTTCGACCCGATATGTTCAAACCAGCAGCAAGCCAAGCCAGCAGAAGGTCAGCAGCAGCAAACCAGCCACCAGCAGCAGCAAAGCAGCAGCAAGCCAGGTAGCCAGCAAAAGCATGGGAAGCAACAACAGAAGTCAGTCACGGCAGGAACGTGGGTGGGAAATGGCGGGAACACGTATGAAGTAGAGCACGAGGACGAGGATGAAGCTCGGGAACCAATGACCAGGAGGGAGGATACTTCTCAAGCGCGCGAAGGCCTATGCCAAAGGCCTACCGCGGTCCACAGTGGACCAAATCGCGCGCGTCCCAAGCGCTCAAGCTCGAGCCCCGCCCTTGCGGGATGTGAACAAACATGACAAAAAGGTCAAGATGCATCTCTGTACTTGCATCCATAACCGCCTTCCGGACCTTTTTGGCCATCAGGTGTAGGCCGGGTAGCTTGGCGGAGTCTCGCCGGCATCCCATGGCCAGCTAAAGCGCTCAGCCATCTGCTGCAAGGTCGTCACATAGGTCTCCTGCATGTCACGCAGCTTCTGCTCCATTGCCTTCTTGTGGATCTTTCGTCCTGCTTCAAACTTCTCATCGTGGATGAGCCGCCAGAATTGCCTCTGGCTGAAGAACTGGAGCAGCGTCTTCTTCGCCCCATTCTTCGTGAGCGAGTCGCCCAAGTGGGCGAGCCCATTCACCCAGCGCAGCTGTGTCTGCGCCTTCAGCGCTTGGTTGACCGCCAGGGTCAGCTCATAGCCAGCTCGGCTATCTCTCAAGCCGTGCAGCGACGAGAGGTTTCTCGTCGTCGCATCGTAGATGGTTTTGGAATCCATGACCAGCGCGCCAGGGATCTGCCGCACCGTCTCGTGGAGCTTCTCACGGCAAAACTTCAGGCCGCCAAATTCAGCCATCGTCGCCCTGATCTGGTAGTTCTGGTCTTCCCCAATGGTGATGCTCTGGACCTCGGCGCCGTTCGACCCCAAGCATTGGCGTGGAGTCTTTCCACTCTTCCACTGCACCACAGAGAGCTGACATTCGGCCCCGTTCAGGGCCTCCTTGACGGTGATGCCCGTGATGATGCCCACCGCGCTGCTTTTACCGGGGCGGTTGCGCTGGCTCGCATCCGCCCATGTGATCACACATAGGTCCCTCACATCTTCAAACTTCCAGGATGAGGGAAAA